GAGATAAGCCAGAAAGAGAAAGAAAAATACTGGATGGTTTCACTCATAGCAGGAGTATAATGGACCAGGCGAGAAAATAACAAAAATAATGAACAGCCATATACCAGAGACATGTTGTGGGGATGGAGTGGGGAATGGGATCCAAAAGGGGGAGCGGAAGGGAGAGAAATACACGGGACTATGGTGGTGGCACACGGGTGACTTGGTGATGGGAAACCCGCGGGGATTACAATCGAGATGGAAAAAAAATGTGCAAAATGATGTAAAAAACTTTTGTAATAATTAAAAAAAAAACTCCAGGTTAAATGATTATGCAGTATCAAACTAAGGTACTAAAAATTTATGTTTTGTTATGTTATAGCATTTTTTGGTCTTAACTATTAGCTTTAATGGTATCAATTTCTAAATAATATTTTAAGTTTTAATTCTCTCAAAATGTACAAGGATTTGGTTTTTATTTCTTAGCCTAGATAATTGGGATTTTTACTTTTTCCCAGTGTATTTCATAGTCTGCCTTTCATATTATTTACATAATACTTCCTTCATGTAAGAGTACACACTTTACTTCTAACGTTACTTCTTATTTAATGATTTTATTCATTCTGTTTAATCGTGTTTTAAAAATCTGGTATCCTAAAGGAAATATTTCTATTACTCTGTTTATGATAAAATGAAACAGGTTATTTTTGAAGGATATTGGAAGCCAGCAATAGCTTGTGTCCATATTGTTACATTTTCTTTAAATACTCTACCCTGACTCAGTTAATATTTTCCATTGTTCATTTTTTTGATGTATACAAATCATGTTCATAATTCAAACAAAAAAATACTGCATGAAAGTGAATATAAATAAGAACATCTTGAAAAATATGTTTATGAGAATATAGATCAACCTGAAAAGATACTAATTTTTCATTTTATTTTGTAAATATCCACTTTAAAATTCAAATTGAGGGCCCTCCCTGGTGGCGCAGCGGGTTAAAGCACTGCACTGAGAAGCTTAAACCACTTCCACATGAGTTCGATTCCCGCCTTCCCCGGAGGAGTCCACATGGCGTGGCAGACCTCTCCTGACCCGCCCGCTGCTCCCCTCAGCAGTGTACTTCGTTGATCTGCCTATTCTGCTCCCTGCTCTGTCTCTGGTGAATCCTCTCACCCTCCGCGTCTCTGGCCTGTACCCCAGTTCTGTATGAATAAATAAATCTTTAAAAAAAAAATTCAAATTGAGCTAAAAAGAAATGCTCAGTGTCCAACCCCATCTACAAAATGGTTTCTCTAGAAAATAATTTTTTAATTATTTATTTATACATATAAGAGCTGAGGTGTAGTCAGAGATGCAGGGAGTCAGAGGATTCACAGAGACAGAGAGGGGAGCGGAAAAGGCAGATCTACTGAAATACACTGCTGAGGGAGCAGCAGGTGAGATAGCAAAGATCTGCCATGCCATGAGGGTCAGCTCCCTGGTTAGAGATCGAACTTGCGCTGCAATTGCTTGGATAGCTTCATAGTGCTGAGCAGTAAACCCTTTGTACCATCAGGAAGGCCCTGATATCAGGATTTTTAAGTAATATGTTTATGCTGCTATATCGTGACATCTGGTTTTATACTTTAATCAGGTCTCCCTATTATATTAAAAGATTTAAGATTCTAACTAAACCATATATAAAAATTGCACATTTCAGGCCTCTCTGGTGGTGCAAGTGGTTAAAATGCAGCACTATGAAACTATCCACAAACACTGCAGCACTAGTTTGATCTCTGGCCAGGGAGGTGACCCACATGGTGTGACAGACCACTCCTGTACGGCCCATTGCTCCCATCAGCAGTGTATTTCAGTAGATCTGCCTGTTCTGCTCCCTACTGTGTCTCTGGTGAATCTTCTTACCCCCACCCCACACACATCTGGCATGTACCCCAGTTCTTGTATGCATAAACAAATCACTCTTTAAAAAATACAAAAATGCACATTTCCTTTCCTGTACTGACAATGTTGTCAGCTTTATATTTAGTTAAACTACTAGGAGTTTTTTACTATAAGGCTAAAATTACTTTTAAAATATGTATTAGAATGTAGTATGGCTACATTTCCTCTGATAAAAAAATCTTTTAGCGATGACAATTGCTTTTACTTTCATTAGTTTCTTTTTACCGCTATTAATTTTCCACATTTATCTACTATTTGAATATCAATATTTCTTCTTAAATATTTAGTAAAAAATTCAACTATCAACTATATTTATTTCCTATATTCTTTCATCCAAATACCTGTATTTCTTTGTTTTATTTCTTTAGGTTCTCTCTTTAGGACAATTTTCTTTAGTATTGCCTGATGATCAGATTTTTTTTTTATAAGATACTATATATTCTGGCCCTCCCTGGTGGTGCAGCGGGTTAAAGCACTGCACTAAGAAGCTTAAGCCGCTTCCGCATGAGTTCGATCCCCGCCTGCCC